TGGAGCATCTTCTTTTCTTTTGCAGGTTTGCTGAGGCAGTGTGGTTCTCTAGTTCACTAGCATACAAGCCGCGTAAAGCAGGTTTCACTTGTTTCAAGCAATGGTGGGCTGTAATTTCAGACGATTTCGGCAGTCAAGATAATGGCAAGCTACTATCCCTATGTGCTTATCTCTGTTGGGAAATTTGGAAGGCAAGGAACAAATTTGTGTTTGATGGTATGGAGGACCATCCTGTAATGGTGGCACGACGGGCCACAAAAGCGTGTGAAGAATTTTTCGAAGTCACAAGGTCTCCCCAAGTGATTCCGAATACCTTCCACCTTTCTTCTTCTCCCTCCCTATGGACAAGACCAGCTGCTGGAACTGTCAAAATCAATTGTGATGCAGCCTTCAAGCAAGGATCCTGTACAACAATGGTTGCGGCGCTTGCTAGAGACTCTCACGGGAATTTTCTTGATGGCTTTACTAGCCGTGTTCAAGCTGACACTCCTCTGTTAGCGGAACTGCAAGCAATCCGGCATTCGCTAATCTGGGCAGGGCATCGTGGATGGCCACAGATTATGATTGAGAGTGATTGCCTACTAGCAGTGACTGAAATGTCAATGGACAAGGAACGACGATCGTGGACTTTAGAACCATTTTGTTTAGATATTGATGTGTATAGTTCTCTCTTCAATTTTTGTAGGATAACGCATGTTAAAAGGACAGCCAACAAAGCTGCTCATTGGACTGCACAGGCTGCTATCTCGGGCTTCTTAAGTCCATGTTGGCTGTCCTCCCTCCCTGGAGAACTCATGCGCATTTTGACAAACGATGTTTGTACTTAGTTTTAATGGAATATATGTATGCTTTTGCTCAAAAAAGAGAGGAGTGACTTTCTTCTTCAAATCCTCTATACCAAAAAGCCAGATATAGATGCTATTATGGCAATCGATGTTTGGCTAAGGAAGTTTTTTATTTAGGCGGTGACTTCTCTTTCAGTGAGCGGTAACCTTGCCGTCTTCTTCTACAATGGGTTGGAGGAAACTTCTTAATTGATTATCCCTTTTTCATTAAGTTGTGATTGTTCAATTGGGTATTAGATTACTAAAGCGTGAAAACTTCTTAATTGATTATCCCCTTTTTATTAAGTTGTGATTATTCAGTTGGATATTAGATTACCTAAAGAGTTACAATTTGAAGTTTTACTTGGTTGTTGGAATAATTTGACGTCGCAAGGTAGAGGGAGTGGTGAAGGTCCCACTAGTGGTCGCAGTGGCGGTGCTGGTGTAGGTAACGGTGGCTGCAGCGGCACAGGAGATGAAGGCGATGGCATCGACAACGTCGACGGTGACGACGAATGTGATGGCGAAGACGCCGACAAGTCGAACCCGGACTGGTGTGACAATGAAGCACTTCCATCTATTTTAACTTTGTCAATTCAAATGTCGAACCATAAGGCATGAAAGGGTATAATTTAAACGTCCTAGAGGCGATGTTAATACTAACTAGCCTAGTGTCATCCGAACTACTCAACAAGATTATCAATTTTGGACGGTTCACAAAGATAAAGAAGATATCCATTCTTTTTACGTAAATGGATGTCCTTATCTGCTTCATTATGTTTCGCTTTTCCAGTATAAGAATATGTATTAGCAGTGGCGGTGGCCCAAGGGGCTAAGGGTGGCCATGGCCCCCTGGGTTTGTAATTTTTTCATACAAGTTCTATCGTAATATATCAATTTCCCCTTATATTTTTAATTTTTGCAAATAAATCCTATCGTGATGTACATTTGACCCCCTCTAAATTTTTTTTTTTACATAAACCCTTATTATCAAACACAAAATATTATATTGACTCCTCTTTAATTTTTTTTTTTACATACACCCTTATTATCACACAGAAAATATTATATTGGCCTTTAGAGATATTTAGTTAGACTCCATATTTATGTTCTCTTAGCTCATCCATCCATGTTGGAGTATTTGTGCAACATTGAAATATGTTCTTCTAATTTTATTAATGCAATATGTCTTGGAAAAAAAAAAAAGAAGAGAAGGAGTGACTGCGAATTCTTTAAAAGAATAATGTTGAAAATGCCATGCCATCAATCTCACCACCACTGGAATCGATTAGGGAGTTCATGGATGAAGTATTGAAGTGGACACCTGTTAAAAAGAACAATTGAAGTGGTAGCGTCACATTGATCAAAAACAAAGAAGAGAAGTCATTTCACAAACCTTGAATTCCTCCCCTCTTTCAAAAAATAACAAATTAGAAAGGAAATCAAATCAATACCTCAATTCTTCCTTTCCATACGAATTGCGGGCCCCTAAAGCACTTGGTGAGGGTCATAGGCCATGGTATTGCCCAGACACGGTAGGGAACACGATTTGTCTCTTTGATAGACATTTTAGTAGGCTGACCACCACCGAACCAAAATAAAGCAAGAAATAAACGCTACTATGCATACATTAAACAGAAAACATATGAAGTGAATGTAAAGAATGTTTATCCTTTATAACTAATTAGGTACAAAGAATATGCCATGAGAAAAGGATTAGGGTACAATTATAAAGAATGCTTTATTCTTTCTTGTATTCTCCTTTGGAAAAAAGGACCTTACTCTTCAAGCAGCTACAAAGGCTTTACTTACAAGAGCCTAGACAACATAATAGATGTCTTGGACACCTTTGATGATAATGGGGATGGTAAAATCATGACATAGACCAATGAGACGTATATTCAATGTGAAAACAAAGTCTCCCCAATTCTAATTTTCAATTTCATAGTGGTTCCAATGATTACTATTTTGCCCTTTTAGAAAACAACTAATGATTGCCTGTTTACTTTTTCTTTTCTCTCCTACTTCACATTAACTTTCTACGTAATCAAGTTCAGGTGTGAGGAAAGCATAGATTGAGGCAGAATTTTTGCACGAATCATGGGTGGTTTTTTGATATTATATTCATAGAGTACATTAATATTCGCATGCCGTGCAATTGCGCCACCAACTTTTCCCTCATGATAATATGACTTTCACTTAATTTTTTTTAAAAAAATTAAAAATTATTATGTAAGAAAAGTTCATTGGGTCTCTTTCTTTTTAGTTTTTACGTAGTTAGTTTGTTTTCTGGAATTTAATTTATTGATTTAGATTCCTTAACTTGTTTTTCTTTTTTTTTTAAATAAAATGTGAACAAACAACCATTTAATCATAATACATCCAATACAATATCAAGGGACCATTACAAACAAAAAGCTTAACGTAATGAATGAGACTCTAACTTTTACACTCTAGAAACATGCTTTATACATTGATATTTTGGTATTAATACTTCTCATTATGAGTGTGGATAAAAGAAGACTTTCTTAGTTCTCAAAAAAAAAAAAGGAAAAGAAAAGAAAACTTTCTCGATCTCCGGCTGAATGTCTCACTTTACATCAGCATTTGTAGGTATAATAACTTTTTTTTCAAAAACAATTGGGACTTAACATGAGCAGAAAGAACAAAATGGTTTTTAAAGTTGACTAATTCAGAGTATATGCCTAGCTATCTAAATCCGACAAAAATGCTTAATCTCGGTTTCTTGTGGATTACTTTACTTATTTCAGATTTTATGATCAGTTAAACATGCAACTATTTTCTCAAGCTAATCACGCAAAGATTCTCCACGTCACAGGCCATAGGAAATCCATAAGAGACATGATAACATCATCAAGTCAAGTGGCATCTCAACATTACATTTAATAAAATATGACTTACGTATTAATGCCTCCTTCTCCTTGTGAAGTTAATTACTAACTAATTATACTCTCTCCAATCCTGCCAATTATGAAAAAGAAAAACCTACCCTAACATTATAATGGAGGCTACTGCTAGAGTCCTCCATATTAGAACAGCAACAATGTCCTTGTTACACCAGAACAAAAAAGTGTTGATGTCGGGTTCTTAAGTCAAGCATTTCGGCTGGTCATGTTCAAAAATAAATATTTCTTAAATATTTTCTGATTAAGCAAAAAGAGTACGCTATAAAACTAATCATCACTTAGCCGCTTATAAAATTTCATTACGTTTCACTTTAATATCAACATGTGTGTAATAAATTTATCATGAAGAAAGAGATCAGCATAATCATTGGCATTTGTTATACTGTAAAATGTTTAAGAGAAGTGACATGTATCACCATATATATCACTAGAATATATTTTCCCAGGAGACATTTTATTGGATGACTATGTTGCGATCACTTCACCAACTCCCTATAATTGGCAAGTGAAGATCCAAACACATCCTTCAGATAGATATAATAAGTACTTGAAACAAATAAATACGAATTAGTAACAAGTAAAGATGGTAAAGCATTCATTTCAAGTTACTATAAGATAATGAATATGGTGGCTTGGGATGACAAACGCCGGCGGTATGTATGGCAACAGCCATATTATTGTTTTCTGTTATGGTTTTATGTATGAACTCTGTTGTTTATTTATGTTTCACTTCATGTACTGTCAATTATTTGACATTTGCTATATATTTACGACATTTTCCGACAAAAAAAATAAAATTGGTGGCTTGGGATGACCATCTTCTATGCTGTATTATGGAGCATTTGGCTCCGTAGGAACAGGAAGCTCTGCGAATGATTGGATGCTGATTGGGCACGAGTTTTTGACACGGTCTTGCTCGGGTCAGTGGCATGGATTAAAGTTAAGCAACCTTCTTTTCCATACTCCCTTGGGGACTTGATCATTTGTGCTGGAAGCTTGAAGGGGTGGCGTGAGGTTCCATGTAAGGTCGGAGTAGTGTAGTTTTTGTTAGTTTTTCTCCCTTGTGTGTTGCTAAGTTCTTTGTATATTTTGGTTTAGTTGCTGTCATTGCTTTGGTGAAACTCTAGACGTGTTGGTTGGTTCTTAATAATATCTCTCGTTTTCGTCAAAAAAAAATCATGAAGAGCTGGGGATGACCAAGTAATTACAAAGTATATAAATGTTTGGGGCATAAATACTTCAACTATTTGGGGATGTGGTTCAGATGGTAGAGCGCTCGCTTAGCATGCGAGAGGTACGGGGATCAATACCCCTGCATCTCTATTTTTTTTTATCCAGAAAAAAAAAAAAACACAAACAGCATGCTTTTTTTAAAAGGCCCACATAAGAAAACAAGGATGTGCTACAAAATATAAGACACTTTTTAAGGAAAAAAAAATACCCAAGGAAACAGTTAAAAAAAAAAGAGCAGGAGCTGGGAAATCAAAGTAGGTGATCCCACTCCCACACATATCTTAATCAACTTTATGGAAGACATGACTGCACTGTCCACCTCCTATTTCTAAGAAGTTTATAGATTAGATAGAGAGGAGAGAAGAGTGACTACTACTGAGTCCATTCATGGCATGTGCACAAGTGATGGGTGTGGGGAGCCACATTGTAGTGATTGTCATGCCTTTGCCAACCCAAAGGAAAAAGGGAGCTCAAATCAAAGGCAAACCGGATTTGACTATAGAATCTCACCTGTTCCAGATTTGTGGCTCTCCCTTTACAAGACAATGCATCATCAACATTTGTAGCATGGCTTGTCTCTCCTTCTATGGAGCATCTCTCTACTGCTCCCCCCCCCCCCCCCCCCACCCTGGCCTTTACCTCTCATATTCTCTCCTCTGTGCCTTTTCCCTTTTCTTTTTCCCTCCCTTTTATATTTCTTATGACCTGCACTTCTTCTTCTGTATGGCGTGACTGATGATAGTTGATTAATTGGCACCGTTTTGTGTCCTAGGGGATTTTATATATTCCATGGACCTACCTAGCTAGCCACTCTATGGGTTTACACTTTTCTAAAACATCTTTCCTTCTTTTCTTTTTTAAGTTTGAGAGAACCAGACACAGGCACCAAGTTAACTAGCCAAACACCAAGAAGAAAAATAAAGAGGACAATAGACAAAAAATGAGCAGCGCAACGGAAACCTAGATGGAGTTTTAAAGATCTTCAATCAATCTACGAGCTCATGTTGTACCAAGACAATTAAGGTTTAGCAAGACAGAAAATTACGATTCATATGAAGACATTTTTGTCTACCAATCCAATACAAATTTAACAAGATTATTTATAAGATTTTTTTTTTTGAACAATAGATTATTTATAAGATCATGTATGATATCTCTTCTTTTTCCTATGTACACATACATGTGTTTTCAGTTCCCTGATATTTTTCCATCAAGTTAACCTCCAGAAATTGTGTGTCAGACTCTAGTCAGGAATACTTTCTCTGGGTGTGCTTAAAGATATTTTTGGCGGCACAGGTCGTGTTTTTTGGAAATGCAAAACTCCAAATTTCCCAATTTTTATGCAAAAATATAGATTTTTGTTTACCATCTAATGGGGTGATAAATAAAACACACACTTCTTAAAAAAAAGAAAGAAAAGAAAAAGAAACAGCTTGGTCCCCTATAACATAAGCTGCCTGTCCATCATAATACACACAAAACAAAAGAAGATGATGCAAGGGTATCGTTTTGGGTCTGATTGATTTTTGCCATCCACTTTTTTTGCATAAATTCAGTTTTATTTTTGTTACTTTCACGAGGATAAATCAGTACTCCTTCTACCAGGAAAGGGAGTTAATAAAAATGAAAGGGCGTTAGATTTAAGTGTGTGGCAAATCTCATAAGTTGAAAATTCTATACATCATTTCTTCCTATAATTTTAATGGGAATCTTCTCATGACAGCATGCATTGGTACAAAAATAATAACATTATTAATTATTTATTTATCATATTTATTATTACCATTCACTAGGGATAAAGATAGGAGTGTCTTACTTCTTTATCAATAACTATCATATCAAGACCGATCATTTGGTCCTGTAACTTTTTGTTTCATAACTTTTATAATCAAGTCGTCCTTACCTTAATTAGTGTGCATCCTTCTCAGATGTTGATTCCCTTAGTAGATTAATACTCATTTTTTTTCATGCAACAAACAATATTTTTTAGATAATAAACTATTAAAAAGAAACTTTATGATTATTATTTAAATCATCTAAGAAAAATAAATAAATAATATTATTTGAAAAGTTACAAATAAGTAATAAAATAATATTTTAAGATTAATCAACCTTTGAGCCTATATTGATAAGCAAAAAAAATTTAACACTTTAGAAGGAAATATAATATTTATATGATTATAGGCAAATACCTACAATAATTAATTTGATGATGAACTTGAAGATGAGGAATAAGATAGAAAGATTTGAGAGAATAGAAACAAAGATTAGAGGGAATGAGAAAAAGATTTTATTGCCTCTATTACGAGGTGTGTATACAAAAGGCTTCGCCCTCCAAACAGTTATGCTCCCCTAATTAAAAGGATGTAAAAGAATTCCAACCATTTAACAATATAAAATCCTAAAAGATATTGACTTAATACAATAAATTCCAAAGAAATATTGTCTTTATACAATAAATCTCAAATAAATTTATTAATTTTTAAAACCTACTTATTAATACGTATATTTTATTGATTAGGTTGAAAATTAAAACTAATTATATATATATTAAATTTGTACAATGTAGCTAGATTATTTACAAAACCTAGGATCAAAAAGAAAAATCAATAATAAATATATATAACCCATTTGGTCATTACATTGACTTTATATAATAGATAACCAAATTTATTCATTAATTTTATAAACATACCAATCAATACGTATATTTTATTTATTAGGTTCAAAAATCGAAACTAATTATAAATGTATATATTAAATTTGTATCTGGACTATTTACGAAACCTACTTACTAAATTCATAAACCGAAATCAATAATAAATATATACAACCCAATGCATAAGATTTTGTCTTTATATTATCTTTATACAATGGAATTTCAAATCTACTTATTAAATTTATGAACCTACTTATTAATACGTATATTTTATTGATTAGGTTCAAAAATGAAAACTAATTATAAATCTATATATTAAATTTGTACAATATATCTAAGATTGTTTATAAAACTTAATAAACAGTATTTGTTTGGTTATATGTAAATTGATTAGAAGGATTTTTTTTTTTGTGTGGTTAATTAGGACAAAATTAAGTTTCAAATACTAGATTGACGAGACTATCTCCCTATAGATTACTACGAGGGATCGATCTAAGTGTTGTCACTCGGTTAGACAAGATATTTTTTGTTTTCAAATTTTTTACCTACAAATCTAGAAGAAAAAATAAATAGAAATTAAAACACTCTCTCTTTATACATGATGATCCTTGTAAGAAATTTTTAGTCCAAGTTCACAAACAACATCGTGCAATAAATCTAGACAAGCTGCAGACTGTAAGCTCATTCACCAATGTGTTTATGTTGTCTTGTGTGGTAGTAGGAAAGCGAAGCACATCCAGACCTTTGTAAAACTTCAATAAATCTAGACGAGTAGCACCATACCCCAACTCACAACATAGAAGGAAAGTTGATTTAAGCTTATCATTACTTACGTGCATATAACTGAGTTCTATGCAAGAAAATAGATCATCCATGATTCTTTGGGAATCAATTTAGGAGAATGTTTTTAGTTCTACCAAGGCGTTCCTCCACATACAAGGTGGCTTGTTTCTCAATATCGTCGCGACTATCATAATGGCTATTGGCAAAACAACACACTGCTTTGGTAACTTAATTGCCAACTTCAACACAAGCAACTTTCTTAAATAGATCCCAAGCTTCGGTTTTATTGAGGACATCAAGTGCAAAACTTTTTGACAATTCATTCTATCCAACAAAACACCAAGTTTTCTAGATATAAATAGTAGTTTGCATCCTCCCCCGATGATGCGGACATGGATGCGGACACTCAAGGAGCAGCTGGCGAATTGGTGTTGCCCACAGGTCCAATTACACGGGCTCGATCCAAGAAGATAAAAGATCAATTGCAACGACAAGTTCAAGCATTGCTCAATCTCGAGTTGCAAGAAGAGCGAGTAATCAAGCTTGGAGAGAAGCTGAAACAGAAGCCCATCAATTTGCTATCGATTAAGGAGTAATTGACTCAAGAGCACAAGTGGGGCCCATTCGACATCAGCCCATACACCATAGGCCATGTCGACATATCAGTAGTATTATTATTAGGGTTATTTTTATTTATTTTATTATATTGGGTCAAGTCCATTATTAATTAGTTGATTAATGTGGGCTTTAGTTATTTAGATTTTTTATTGTAAGGTTTTAATTAGTGTCCAAGTTATGTGGGCTCAATTAAAATCCTAGTCCATCTAGTAATAGGAGTGACTTGAGGAGGTGGCCGACTTTAGGGTTGAGGAGGTGCCAACCTAGGTGCTTTTGATCCTTTATAAATAGAGACCTAGGGGTTCATTGTTAGATAGAATATTTGAGAAATAAAAAGTTGAGTAAAGCTTGAATATTCTCACATCAAGAGAGGAGTCTCTTTGCTTATTTTTATTTTAGGGATTTACTAACAATTGCAGGTAGTGATATTTGCTATTCTGATTCATATTCCTTTGTGCTTTGTTTTTTTGTTGTCTAGCACCGAGAGATTAGGAGGTGGAGGGGCTATCGTGTCCATTTGTCGGCTAGCACGGATTGTTAGGAGGTGAAGAACAACGGTGCATAAAGTGTGCACGATTGGTGGTGATTTGAGATCGGGACAATCTTAGATACGAAGGTGCTTCTAGGGCCGGCTAGGTGTGTTGTCGTATCAATTTTGGTAGCGGAGCTCAGGTTATCAAATCAATCAACTATCCTTTAATTTTTTTGTGTTATTTGTTTTATTTCTGCCGAATTTAAAAAAAAAAGGTGTGTCGATTACTGTTCATCGTACTGTTCATCATTACTATTCATCGACAACAAATATATAAAAAAAAAAGAAAATCGATTGATTTATTGATAACCAATTATTTTGCAGGAATTCGGATGAAAGATCCTACCCGAATTGAATCTTAAGTTTTCTTTCAGTTTGTTGTGTTGATAGCCGATTTCTTGCATTGGGTGATATTGTTTCATATTGCTCGATTGACCAAAAATCTACACATACAAATTGTTCTTCTTGTGTGTGTTTTCTGTTCTTGAATTGAGTTTA